TACATGTCATTTATCCCGTGGTTGCCGGGCAGAGCTATAGAGCGACCTGTCAATAAACAAGTGTGAAGTTTGAGTGTGCGTCTGTTTTACCAAAAAAGTAAACGTGTTAGACCTCCGTCACCTGTGGCTTTCTTTCGATGTGACATAAATGAAATACTGAAAACAACTGCATTAAATTCACAATTTCCTTTCGCAAACTCTAAATTTTATTATTAGCTAATGGTGTGTGTGTAGGGGACTGTGTATGTGGAGGAAGTGGTCGTGTAGTGTATCCCTGTGTGATGACATAGAGAAATCGGTTGACTGTATGTGGAGGTAGTGGTCGTGTAGTGTATCCCTGTGTGATGACATAGAGACGTGGGTTGACTGTGTATATGGAGGAAATGGTCGTGTATTGTATCCCTGTGTGATGGCATAAAGACGTGGGTTGACTGTGTATGTGGAGGAAGTGGTCGTGTATTGTATCCCTGTGTGATGACATAAAGACGTGGGTTGACTGTGTATGTGGAGAAGTGGTCGTGTATTGTATCCCTGCGTGGTGACATAGAGACGTTGGTTGACTGTGTATGTGGAGGAAGTGGTCGTGTATTGTATCCCTGTGTGATGACATAGAGACGTGGGTTGACTGTGTATGTGGAGGAAGTGGTCGTGTTTTGTATCCCTGCGTGGTGACATAGAGACGTGGGTAGACTGTATGTGGAGGAAGTAGTACTGTATTGTGTCCCTGCGTGGCGACACAGGGACGTGGGTTGACTGTGTATGCAGGGAACTATATTTTATCCCTGCGTGGCGACAGAGAGTCGTGGGGTGACTGTGTATGTGAAGAGGTCGTGTATTGTATCCCTTTGTGATGACATAGAGACGTGGGTAGACTGTGTATGAGGAGGATGTGGTGGTGTATTGAATCCCTGTGTGATGACAAAGAGACATGGGTTGACTGTGTATGTGGAGGAAGTGGTCGTGTATTGTATCCCTGTGTGATGACATAGAGACGTGGGTTGACTGTGTATGTGGAGGAAGTGGTCGTGTATTGTATCCATGTCTGATGACATAGAGACGTTGGTTGACTGTGTATGTGGAGGAAGTGGTCGTGTATTGTATCCCTGTGTGATGACATAGAGACGTGGGTTGACTGTGTATGTGGAGGAACCGGTCGTGTTTTGTATCCCTGCGTGGTGACATAGAGACGTGGTTTGACTGTGTATGTGGAGGAAGTGGTCGTGTATTGTATCCCTGTGTGGTGACATAGAGACGTGGGTTGACTGTGTATGTGGAGGAAGTGGTCTTGTGTTGTATCCCTGCGTGGTGTAATAGAGACATGGGTAGACTGTATGTGGAGGAAGTAGTAGTGTATTGTATCCCTGCGTGGCGACACAGGGACGTGGGTTGACTGTGTATGCAGGGAACTGTATTGCATTCCTACGTGGCGACAGAGAGTCGTGGGGTGACTGTGTATGTGAAGTGGTGGTGTATTGTATCCCTGTGTGATGACAAAGAGACGTGGCTTGACTGTGTATTTGGAGGAAGTGGTCATGTATTGTATCCCTATGTGGTGACAGAGACGTGGGTTGACTGTATGTGGAGGAAGTTGTCGTGTATTGTATCCCTGTGTGGTGACATAGAGACATCTGTTGACTGTGTACGAGGAGGAAGTGGTGGTGTATTGTATCCCTGTGTGGTGACATAGAGACGTGGGTTGACTGTATGTGATGGGGTTGTGTATTGTATCCCTGCGTGATGACATAGAGGCGTAGGTTGACTGTGTATGTGATGGGGTTGTGTATTGTATCCATGTGTGATGAGAGAGACGTGGGTTGACTGTATGTGGAGGAAGTGGTCGTGTATTGTATCCATGTGTGATGTCATAGAGACGTGGGTTGACTGTATGTGATGGGGTTGTGTATTGTATCCATGTGTGGTGTCATAGAGACGTGGGTTGACTGTGTATGTGAAGGAAGTGGTGGTGTATTGTATCCCTGCGTGGTGACACAGGGACGTGGCTTGACTGTGTATATGAAGTGGTTGTGTATTGTATCCCTGTGTGATCACAGAGACGTGGCTTGACTGTGTATGTGAAGAGGTTGTGTATTATATCCATGTGTGATGACAGAGACGTGGGTTGACTGTGTATGTGGAGGAAGTGGTCGTGTATTGTATCCATATGTGGTGTCATAGAGACGTGGGTTGACTGTGTATGTGGAGGAAGTGGTCGTGTATTGTATCCATGTGTGGTGTCATAGAGACGTGGGTTGACTGTATGTGATGAGGTTGTGTATTGTATCCATGTGTGGTGTCATAGAGACGTGGGTTGACTGTGTATGTGGATGAAGTGGTCTTGTATTGTGTCCCTGCGTGGTGTCATAGAGACGTGGGTTGACTGTGTATGTGGAGGAAGTAGTCGTGTATTGTATCCCTGCGTGGTGACAGAGACGTGGGTTGACTGTATGTGAAGAGGTCGTGTATTGTATCCCTTTGTGATGACATAGAGACGTGGGTAGATTGTATGTGGAGGAAGTAGTAGTGTGACTGTGTATGTGAAGTGGTTGTGTATTGTATCCCTGCGTGGTGATATGGAGGCGTGGCTTGACTGTGTATGTGGAGGAAGTGGTCGTGTATTGTATCCCTGTGTGATGACATAGAGGCGTGGGTTGACTGTGTATGTGGAGGAAGTGGTTGTGTATTGTATCCCTGTGTGGTGACACATGGACGTGGCTTGACTGTGTATATGAAGTGGTTGTGTATTGTATCCCTGTGTGATCACAGAGACGTGGCTTGACTGTGTATGTGAAGAGGTAGTGTATTGTATCACGGTGTGATCACAGAGACGTGGCTTGACTGTGTATGTGAAGAGGTAGTGTATTGTATCCATGTGTGATGACATAGAGACGTGGCTTGACTGTATGTGAATGAAGTGGTCGTGTATTGTATCCCTGTGTTGTGACATAGAGACATCGGTTGACCGTGTATGAGGAGGAAGTGGTGGTGTATTGTATCCCTGTGTGGTGACATAGAGACGTGGGTTGACTGTGTATGTGGATGAAGTGGTGGTGTATTGTATCCCTGTGTGGTGACATAGAGGCGTGGGTTGACTGTATGTGATGGGGTTGTGTATTGTATCCCTGCGTGGTGACGTTGAGGCGTAGGTTGACTGTGTATGTGATGGGGTTGTGTATTGTATCCATGTGTGATGACAGAGACGTGGGTTCGCTGTGTATGAGGAGGAAGTGGTCGTGTATTGTATCCCTGCGTGATGACATAGAGGCGTAGGTTGACTGTGTATGTGATGTGGTTTTGTATTGTATCCCTGTGTGGTGTCATAGAGACGTGGGTTGACTGTGTATGTGGAGGAAGTGGTCGTGTATTGTATCCATGTGTGGTGTCAGAGACGTGGGTTGATTGTATGTGATTGGGTTGTGTAGTGTATCCCTGTGTGGTGTCCTAGAGACGTGGGTTGAATGTATGTGATGGGGTTGTGTATCGTATCCCTGTATGATGACATAGAGACGTGGGTTGACTTTGTATGTGGAGGAAGTGGTCGTGTATTGTATCCCTGTGTGATGACATAGAGACGTGGGTTGACTGTGTATGTGGAGGAAGAGGTCGTGTATTGTGTCCATGTGTGGTGTGATAGAGACATGGGTTGACTGTATGTGGAGGAAGTGGTCGTGTATTGTATCCATGTGTGGTGACATAGAGACGTGGGTTGACAGTGTATGTGGAGGAAGTGGTCGTGTATTGTATCCATGTGTGATGACATAGAGACGTGGTTTGACTGTATGTGAAGAGGTAGTTTATTGTATCCCTGTGTGGTGACATTGAGGCGTGGGTTGACTGTATGTGAAGAGGTAGTTTATTGTATCCCTGTGTGGTGACATTGAGGCGTGGTTTGACTGTATGTGAAGAGGTAGTTAATTGTATCCCTGTGTGGTGACATAGAGGCGTGGTTTGACTGTATGTGAAGAGGTAGTGTATTGTATCCATGTGTGATGACATTTACCAGAGTCTACCGCCGGCCTCAGATCATTCAGTATCCTAAACATTGCACTTCCAGTACTATGATGAGGATGATAGGTTGACGGGAATTCGTCCAGGAGTTTATTCTTGGAAATGTGTACGACGTCATAATAACATTACATCAACATAATATCGAAACACACAGGGTGAGGTTAATAATCATAAAAGACAATACAATGGGTCAAATATGTGGCAGCAACAATAATTAATTTATGTCTGTGCACTCAGGAATGTCCAAAATTTGTCACAATCGAATGTCTGGAATGCAGGAAACAGTGTTGGCAGTAGGCATTATGTCGATGTTTTCCGATAGGTATCCCTTCCGCACTGGGCAGGTACAATAGGTAGATACGTTATGTCAGAAAGTAGAGGGCTTCGAATTGCCATCGACTTGCTCTTATATAGGTACAGCCAGCCTTTTAGAAATTTCGCAAATAGTGTAGTCTATCCCAGTGTCAATACACAAGGGCGGATAACCCAAGTGCTCTTGTTGTCACAAACCGTCAACAAAATCTAGAAACGCGGGCACTTGACATTTTAAGTACGCTTCAATAAACTACCTGTACCAATCACCAGAAATGAACTTGCACTACATACTGCCACAATGTATTTTATGGAAAAAAAACACTAATAGAAGGTGTCATGATCATTTTTGAAGGCGGATAATTGAATATTTGAATTCAATAGTGTCAAACATAATTTTTGCAGAGTTAAACCCTTCGGATTTATAAATAATATTCACTTCAAGTTCCTAGAAAGTATTTTTCTTTTGTCTTCATTGTTTACTTTCAGTTATTCAATATGAATGCAGTTTTAAAAAACAATTGGGGTGCATAACACAATTTGAATTGAGAACAGAGAGCGAGTATATTCATTAATTCTTTGTTATCCGACCTCAAGACAGGTACATGTACATGTCCATTTAGTTGGCAAGACACAAGAGCGAGACACGAGCTCTTGAAGTACAACAGCCAGTTAGTGAAATACACACACGCACATTGTATGTGCAAGTATATCCTTTCACCCTACTCTTGCTGATGCATTGAGATATGTGCCACAGAAGAACTGTCTTCCTACTTCTTCAGAAAGGTCATACCTAAGTTTGAAAGGATGTAAAAAAATATCTCTGGTGTTATAATATTTTGTATATTGTTCCCTATTATGCCAAAGGCTGCCATCTTTCACAAAATGAATGTCTTTCCACATTTGAAGTCCATAAGCAACGTTGGCAAATCCTATTTCCACCATGACATCGTGTTTCAACAACAAGTTAGCAACAAGTGTAAAATTATCTTTAAAGGAAGCAGGTACGTACATAAAATCACAGCCTTGAATGGTCAAAGTTGTAAAATTGTTAGAGTTGTTCATATAATTGTGAAGAAAACGATTTGCAAAAGATCTTGTTGAGTTCAACAGTGACATGTTTCTTATGTCATCAATGACAGCTAGTATCCTCGGTTTACCATCCTTCCACCAAATCCACATGGGATTGATATCCTTTTGAGAAACATTCTCGCGCCTGCCACCTGTATGCAGCCAGATCTTATCACGTGGCAGTGTGTCAATGTTCCAAGGGTTAATCAGAGTGTCATCTCCAATCTGTAAGAATCCTTTCACATCGACATTAAGCTTCATTGCTTCAATGATACATTCATACATGTAGTGCCAGTCTCTTTTGAAGAGTTCCATGTATATGAAATACCCCGTGGTTGCATTCTGAACATAGGATGTGAAGTTTTTTATTTCGGGTCCACAGAAAATGATATTGTTGAAGTAAGGGCGATACATGGCTTCTAGTAATGGAATATTGGCATACAGTAATGGCTGGTTAAAGGATATTATAAGCGCTATGTCATTTGTGTTATCTGAGAATTTTATATCAGTTTTTGGACAGACAGCTCTCAGACGTGTGTGATATGTGTCTGTCATAGAAGTCGAATTAATTGGAGTAGCGATAATTCCCAAAGTAGTTTTTTTTAAATCAAGGGATCTTTGTTGTGGGATTCGTTTGGGAATTATATATTGGATTGACCTTAACTGCGCAAGCCATTCAATTACCAAAAAGGCTTCATACGAACTGAGGAGTTGATTATCTTTCAGAAGTTTCACCACTTCAGCCAAGCATTCTAACACATTTAGGTTACCGGTACAGTCCCAGGAATGTAGAAAGTCAACCAAACAGTTTGAAGAGGTAGTGTGGGCTATCCTTGATTGTGATGGTACAGGAAACGGATAGATTCCTACTCTTCCATTTAAATACCATAAGACACGTTGTATTATGAAATCTCCTTTGTCGACATCCAATAAAGGGAGTGCCCAGAATGCATCATAATGGAATGCCAGTACATCCGAACTAAGTGAAGCAAATGTGTTTACTTGAAGAAATATAGGAGCATGCTGTTTTATTGATTCAAAATATACTGGTCGTTTGCATTGCCCTCCCATATTCATTTCAGGCAGTAGAGGATTAAACACCGACATGACCAATGGATTTACACTTTCATCAATGTAAAACTCATTCAAAGATGACATTGCTTCGTTACTTGGTGGCTTAAATAATACATGGGGATCGAATACCGTTTCGTTGCGCATAAGAACTAATCCTGTTTGCGGTATGTTGTCAGACATTCTCTTCAGCATTTCTAATCCACAGGTATTCAAATGACGGATCACACACATGTGTTTGGCGCCGTTGGAAATAGCATAAAGGTAAGCCTGTTTCTTGTGGAACAGATCATCGACAACAATGTCAGCGGGCAAGTGGGGATGAGTTGAGCTGAGAGTAATGCACCACGGGCGTCTGTCGGATGAAAGAGAAAATGCATTTTATGCAGGAGTCAGCAGTTTTACAGCAATTCAAACAAACAAACAATATCTACCGACGCCATTCGGATATATACTTGCGGAAAATAACATCTGTGCTTCATATAAAGTGGTGTAAATGTTATGTTATTGAAAATTAAACGATGTTAATATCTCGGGTGACCGCCATTTGCGTTGATACAGGCGAGGCAGTGGTGGCACATTGAATTCACTAGATGATTGAAAACAGCCTGGAAGATCTTGTTAAAAAGGTCAACCAAAGATTAGCCAAAGAGCGTCTGGTTCTAGTCCTGTCGTAGGTGTCCATCCATCTTATCCCAGACATGTTCCATGGGGAAGAATTCTGGAGAAAGAGCCCTGACAGTACAGCAATTTTATGCTGCCGCTAAAAGTTTGTTACAACACGCGCAACGTGTGGGCGGGCATTATCCTGCTGCGCCGTGACGTTACAGTGCCTGCATTTGCACAAAGGGTAGAACGTGATCTCAAACGATGTCGCCCGGGTAGTGCCATTAACAATGAAGAGTTGTGTTTTCCCATGAGTTGTGATGCCACCACATATAATTACACTTCCACCCCCAAACTGACGACGTTGAGTAACTCAAGCGTCGCTATAACGCTCTCCTGGGCGTCTGTAGACCCTTGCGGGACGGTCGGGTAGCCTAGTGGTTAAAGCGTTCGCTCGTCACTCAGGTTCGATTCCCGACATGGGTATAATGTGTGAAGCCCATTTCTTGTGTCCCCCGCCGTGATATTGCTAAAATAATGCGGCTGAAAACCACACTCACTCACTCACTGAAGACCCTTGCACGACCATCAGTGCTGTCCGGGAGAAAGTTATTGAGCAAACATCATACTGTCCGAGTCTTGTCTTCTGAACCACAGACGCTGTCTAGAGAGGCGTGCCTAATGGTGACGTGGAAGCAAAATCGGGCGTTCCTCTGGCGTTGGATGTTTTGCCCCTCAATCGGTTGCGTACGGTTCTCAAGCCTGAAGTTGTTCGAGCTGTTATTGTGGCAATTTGGTATCGATTCCATAGATGCACCAACCGAATATGGCTGTCTTTTTAACATGACGTCACACGTGGACGACTGGACCGTGGCAATCCATGAGTGGTGCCCTGCTGTAGATGACGCCTTAGAAGAGCTGATATTGTGTTTCGATGAACATTAACATGTCTGGCGACTACGTTTTACGCCATTCCTGTTGGCAAGATAACCACTGACCGTAGACGTTGATTTTCAGCAAGCGACGTAAGCGTTGTTACGGTTTAAAAAGTGTTGTTATCAGCACCTGATAGCTAAACAAACAGTGTGTGCTGTTCACATTAACAAATTCACGTTTGTGAGTAGCACACTCCCGACAAACACGGAAACATTAAAACCATACGCTGTGCATGAACATGTACATGCAAACTATAAATCGCGTCCTCAATGTCGAGGAAATGTCTTCACGAACATGAAAGATGCATTATTTGATTTCATCATTTCATTCATTTTTATTGAATTTTATATGAATCAGCGTTACATTTTTCCGCTCGTATATAAGGCTTAATCGGGCTACTGTAATTCTTAATTCTAAGCATCCCTTATTACTCACCTCTGATTGCCTATGTATACTAGTATATGCTCATGTTTAAGGGGTTCCGTAACGTTGCTGCGTACTTTTCAATTCTTTCTTGGCACAAGGCTGGGGATGGGGAAGAGACAAAGTGTAAAGTAGGTTCACAACTCGTTACGCTAGGAAAAACATGGTATTGTATAATACTTGGTAATTGGCGTACATTTGATTTCGTATTTGACATTGCAACTGGCACATGTTTCCTATATGTTATTTCGGAATGACAATAGAATCTTCGAGAATGTATATCATAAATAACTTACCTGCACACAGATTGTGATAGGCTAGTATTGACAAGTAACAGTACTCTCCATCCGGGTATCTTGATGACGTCATCGCCAGTAAATGATGACGCAATCAGCCACTTGTCGTGCTGCCTCTTGTTCCTACGAATGAAACAAAATAAATTAACAACAACATTTACAAGTGAAAGTTTTGCAACCTTGTACATTCCAGATTTATATCTGTAATTAATATAAATATTTCCAGGCTTTGTAGCCTACTTGGATATGTTTTCTACAGTTTATATACTACTCAAAGTTTGCTAAGGATCCAAGTTTCAAAGGAAATACGTCACATTGTGAGCATCTGTTGAAATAGCCAAAGACAGGATTGCGTGAAGACAAATGTTTAATGAACAAATGTCCGTTGCTACGTGATGTGATCAATAATCAGTCAGATCAACCGTCAACATGAGAGTATCTGACCACAACTGAAATGTAAATGTCAAAAAAATGTCGAAAACAAATTCATTGTACAAGAAAACAACCTCTCAGTGGCGCGTATGTGATCCACTAGATGCGATCACAGTCGTCTCATGCTCCCAATGTCCGGAAGGATGCCAAGGAAAATTTGTTTGGCGGTATCACACATGACAAGCGAACTGATTTGCTTATTGCGAATGAGTGAGTGAGTGAGTTTAACGTCACATCGGCAATATTTCAACGAGATTATTGTGAATGAACATTTGACTGGACAGCGATATGTTGACATTTTTCGTCCTGCCGTTGTTCCATTCACGAGAATTACCGGCAGAAATTGTGTACGACAAGACGACAATGCCAGACCACATCTTGCCCAGGTCCAACGACAAAGCACACGGACATTGGAGTTGCCCCCTAAGTCCCCCTGATATGTCACCAATATAGCATCGGGTCGTCGGCGTGACGAGCGAACGCTTTAACCACTTGGCTAGCCAACCGCCCCTTGCAGCGTCAGAAAAGTTATGTATACATACCTGTACTCAGGAAGAGATTGCAGATGCATGGGATCGCCTCCAAAGTATGTCCATGAACTGTTTTGCCACCTGTATTGGTACACCATCAACACCACCATAATGGCCAAAGGACAAAGGAATAGCTTCTTGTCTGCCAACAAACGAATGGAATTAATAAAGGACTGGCCATTTGTCATAGCACGCGTAGGGGGTGGGTACGTGTGTGTGGGTACGTGTGTGTGTGTTTGTGCGTGTGTGGTGGTGGTGGTGGTGGGGGGGGGGGGTCTCGAGACTGTATCATGTTTTGTCTGTGTCCAAATGATCCAAAAGTGCATTAAGTTCTAACGCAACAAATTGCACTTCCTTGGTCACTTGCCTTCTCTCATACGAGTACTTATATTTTAAGTCGTGCAACAATTTATTTACAGTAGATTTAGAAACTGGGCCCGACAAAAGTTTATCCTCTCGATGATTCATTCCCAACAAAGAAAGTTGCATGAACGAAACCATAAGTACACATATTTGATGGCAAGTGTTCAGGAGGCGAACCGTCTTGCAGTGTTCGTGTGCCTAGGATTCATGACATTATGGCAGGGTTGTAAGTGTGACATGTTACGGATCTGGAATCTATTTGGAATACACAATGGGGCAGCTCGTTGCTCTGTGCAGCGGCAAGGTAATATCAAAATCGTTTATAGGAGCAGCACAGAGATGCGGTTACTGCAGCTTCCATCCACGCCGGCGGGGTGGGATGACACACGATCAACCAGATCACTGAGCCTGACCACCCGCTGAATTTGGTGGTTACAGCCCATGAGCGCTAATTGGAAATTAGCAGGAAAAACCATCATGGCGCTTAGGGACCAATAAGGGCATACCCACAGTTCATGACTAAAACGAGAACAAAGGTGTACCGGTAATTTGATTTTTATAAATATGAACAACCAACCAATTTCAGTGTGTGCAAGAAGAAACCAAGTATTCGGGAAAGAATGCTTCAAATGTTCTCCACAAGAGGCCAAATAACCAATCAAATTCCATATCATTAATCAATCTTCCGAAATGCAGCATAAACAAAAACAACACTTTTGACCGTTTTGTCAGTGAAAATGAAAGATGGGAGCCACAGGAATGATTTAATCCGGCGTGACGTCGCAACGTGACGTCGAACGTCAATTCAACGTCCTCAGCAAGACATGGCGACGTTATCAACGGAAAAACCACGTCAGAGGCCGTCCTCTTCGTAACACCCCATTTACAAGAGATATGGATGAGAAACACGCATCTTCGACACAGTTCCGGACAGCAACTCTCACATTCCCCATAACCATCCCTGGCACCACAGGCGTGTCTGCGAGTACAGTCCGTCGACGTATACGCATCGTACGACGGCATCTGTGCTAGGCGCCTACCATACGGCCAATCCTGCAGAATATCAATGTCTCCCTCTCCAGGAGTTAATGTGTTACCTTGGCCTGCAAGATTCCCTGACCTGCCACAAATATTACTGGGATGTAAACGAACGACGTCTGCTTTCACTAGCCCTGACTAACGTCGATTTTATAGTACATTGAAATTCTGTGATGACTCACTAACCCACTCCCACATAATGTCCTAATAAGCGATATATCTTCTAACATACTAACATACTGATACTCATATCATTGCAATGGTTGAGGAAACGTGAAGAAATATACTATCATCCCAGTTTTACCATGTTATGTAACCTTTTTTAAAAGTATAAGAACAAATCTGAACCCCTACATCTTGGGAAATCCACACGAAGAAATAACCACAAGAAAATAATAAATATCTGACATTGGACACCCAATTCGTTTTGCTGTCGTCATCAAAAGCTTTCAGTAGTTTATAACATTGGTAAGGATATCTTTGCTATCCCATCCTCCGTAATTTTAACCAATATTTTGTCATTCGAAGTTGACTTAATACCGTAAACAGCTTTATTTTCAACCATTAAAAAGCATTTAGAGGAAAAAGAATGTACTTTTTCAAAAGCGTCATTATATTTTGCGCCCCATATTTCTTCTCTGTATAACAGGATTGGCACAATTTTCTTCAAATATAGCACGAGCTGTAGAAGAGGATACATGAATATTTTGCTTGAAAAATATATAGATAGGTATAATTGCTTTTGATGGTTGCGATGCTAATTAATATTGTGTGCACGCAACGGACCATGACAGTAGCGCCAGGCCTAAATATTAAGAATAAGTAATTTAAGACGATATTACTATGTGTCCATTTTTCATTTTTGGCAATGATACCTCCATTTTTAAAAATAAATACATTTGTTTTTGACCAATTAACTTCCAGTATCCGTCTCTTGCAAACAGAATATAATACATTCAATTTTTCTGTAGACCATTAACAAGGTATGAGACGTAATAACACATCAGCAAATCGAAGTAACATACAATCTCTAATATCTTGTGTGACAAACACGACAATGACATTCGTTATATATTTCTGTCACGAGCTCATTAATGAAAAGGGGCGGTCGGGTAGCTTAGTGGTTAAAGCGTTCGCTTGTCACGGCGAAGACCCGGGTTCGATTCCCGACATGGTTACAATGTGGTGTTCTGGTGTCCCCCGCCGTGATATTGCTGGAATATTGCTAAAAGCGGCGTAAAACAATACTCACTCATACTTATTAATGAAAAAATAAACAAGCCTGGGCTTACTATACATCCCCGGCGTACACCACTAGATGTCAAGAAGCACTGTGTTCTACTAGACTGTGTTTTAATGCACGCCTTTACCGATGAATACATATTGTTTAGAACTGGAAACAATTTCCCTGTTCATCCTTAGGTAGGAAGAAATATATTAACATTTTTTTCTATCTATAAAATCGAAAGCTTGGTATAAATCTACAAATGCGCAATAAAAGCTACCCCTAGGGTATCATAAATATTTGGAACATGAAGCTTGCATATGAATGAATTGTCAACCGTTGAATAGAACAGCCTGAAATTCAGATAGAAGATTATTCACATCCAACCAAACTCTAAGACAATGTGCTATAATGAAAGTAAGTAGCTTTCCCGTTACATTTAACAACAGGAATATCCCTTTAATTACTGGGTTCCGACCGTGTACCCGATTTATACAACGTTCCACGACTCCGGAAACACTCCAGTAGTGATAATTTTATAAAGTAACAATTTTAAATATGCTATAAGAATTGTGCCTGATAACCTAAAAGATTCAGATGATATTCCATCTTCACCGGCAGATTTACCAGCTTTCAGATTTTGTGATGCACACTCAATCTCTTTCTCTGATATATCACCTGATAATAGATCATCTGTAAAAGGTAACTCGTTGCAGTCTTCACATGAATGGGAATTTACAAACTGCGTTACATAACAATCAAAGGGTTAAGATTCCAGGTTATTAATGCGGGGTAAAGTAGATCTTTAACATAAGTAAACCAGACATCTGGTGTCAAGGGATAATTAGATACTTTGTATCGCCTTTTTAATGAATTCCAGAAACGTTTACAGTCTTCATGTTTAGCTGCCACCTTATATCATCACACAGTTTAGCATCGTTTGCATTCTTCGTTTTTCTACAGCACTTCTTGTACTCAGATTTCGCATTAAGATAAAGGCGTAAATTGACATCGAATTAATATTTTCTAAATTTGTTCAGCAATCTATATGTTCTAGATGTTAGATTAGTCTATATCAAAGCAGGGCGGTTGTTGCCCGTAGTGATTGTAGCTACTGTAACATATGTCCCTGCATTTTTACCACAGTGAATTTAAATATCACGAAACTTTCCGACAGTAGTATCAATATTATCTCCAAATAAAATAGAAAATTCATTGAACATTTCCTTACTAGCACTGCTGCATAAATAGTTTTGATCACGAAGTGATCTTACCTAAAGGGAGTGTATCTAACTGTATGATTTATTTACAACCCTCAGGGTTTATGTAACAAACACAAGGAAAATATGTAAGGAAGACAACTCATTCTTCACTCTGAAAAATAGAGCATTGTTGGACTGGCCGTAAACCCTTTCAAGAAAGGGGATATACCATGTTTTATACATACGGACAATCCTCCCGAAAACCTTCCGCGGGATTTATAACGTTTTGGGTTGCAACTAAAGATATCATGGTTGTTAAATAGATTTTGCAAAATATCATGCCCATTCATTCATACACATTGTCTCCATTAAACAGAAAATGGCATAATTTTTCCCAAAGGCAGAAAAATCCGAAAACAGTCAAGTCCCGATTAATGAGTATGTCGGATAAACGAAATTAGGTAGTATAAACGTTCGTGATCGAAAATTGGACAACTACACGATAGATAACGATACAAACACGTAGGAAAAGGAAAAAGGACATATTCATATTGTTGTGTTACATTGTCGGCGGAACATGTTTTCTAATCATGCAACCACTAAAGTTTAACACAAAACTACTGTTACGGACTTTATGACTGATACAAAATTGACTGATTTTTAAAGCATAGTCTGGAATGGAAGTCGCTAATTTGAAACTAGTGCCGCAATGCTTAAAAAAGCTTCTTTCTTAGTGGCTAATGTCGACTTCCTGTTAGTAATTTCATTGGTCGGTCAAAGTTCGCGAAAGGTCGTTCCGACGTGACCTGTAATCGGATGTCCTCAGCGGTAGCGAGAACTTGTATCCGATTTTAATGAGTGAGTGAGTGAGTTGGGTTTAACGCCGCTTCTAACAGTATTCCAGTCATATCACGGCGTGTCAGCTTAATGTGGGAGGAAAGCCCGAAGTGATGCAGGTCTCAGACGTTTACCACTTCGGTGAAACCCACGAACACGGGTATGGTGCTGACAAACCTAGAAACATAATCGGGGCGAACCGGGATTCGAACCAACAATCATAGGTTTCTGGCGTGCCTAAGGGACGCAACACTGCACAGCGAAGCACGGCGCCTTAGACGACTGGGCCACCCGCGCCCCCTCCGATTTTAATGATAGGTAATCTAGGCATGTGATTAATCCTGTTTTGTTTATTTAAACCGTTGAAATATGCAGCTACTCGCCGACTCGTCTCGCATCAAAACACAGGGCTGTGTACAAACGACGGTTTGTAAATAATCGAGTCTGTACCAGACAATCCAGTGATTGATATCATGAGCATCGATCCACGCAATTGAGATACGATGACATGCATCAACCAAGTCAGCCAGCCTGATCACCCGATCCCGTTAGCCGCCTCTTGCAAGCATAGTAGCCTTTTCCGGCAAGCATGGGTTGCTGAAGACCTATTCTAACCCGGAACTTCACAGATTACTTACTGGTAAGTAGTGATTCATCGACTAGTATCTTACAGGTGAATTGACTTGAGAGAAAAATTACCTATACTACTATACTACACAGGTAGAGAACTAAAAATATATTTTGACCAGTTTCAATGAAACAATTTATCATCTGTAATCAATGACTCTTAATATAATATCGATTTCAGATAAATACACTCTTGGTGGCTGATAATCAGTTTCGAAACAAGGTAGTCTTGAAAGTAACTGAAAAGCAACGTAATTACAAATGATAAATAATACTGTTTCATAAAGAAAGATGTCTTCTAAATGAAATCGCTCATGTCCCCGGTACCGCGTTCACACATGTTCAAGAAAATAAAGAAGTAAAAAGCTAAGTTACCTGATGGTCTGAACATTGTTGAACGTTTCCGCACTCTGTTAACGTTAGCTTTTGTGATCCAGTCACATGAAATTGATGCCGCGCTGAACTGAAACGAAGCCCACGAGAAAAGCGTGCAGCCTGTAAAATGCGTGCGATGACAACAGGCTGATTGCAGTCGGCTCTTTAGATGGCTTGTTGTTGGTTGGTTGGTTTGTTGTTTAACGCCGCACTCAGCAATATTCCAGCTATATGACGGCGGTCTGTAAATAATCAGTATCGCACGGAGAACTGGGACAGCCTGGGTCAGCGTAATCGGATATGCTGTGGAGTTTCGGTTTTGGGCTGTTTGCTGAATAGAACAAGGGCTCGCGAACAAGGGAACAATGTAGAGATTAAATCATTACCACCTCTCTTTATATCAGATATGTTATTGTGATTTGAATCTCTTTTGGAGAATTGCGAGTTATTGTATACTCTTTCGTCATGGTAGAATATATATATTCTATGTTGCTTTTTGAATTATCCACAAATAATGAGAACTACAATGTAAACCTCTCTCTGGAGATATGCAATAATACTACTGAAGGGCATATCTGAAAAATGGGACTTATCGACTAATCTTTCTTTCTTAAATACTAACTGTTACAGGCATTCTAGTCATTATATTAGACTTTGTACAGTTTAAAAGTCACTCAGCAATATACCAGCTATATGACGGTAGTTCGTAAATAATCCAGTCTGGACCAGACAATCCAATGATTAATATCATGAGCATCGATCCACGCAATTAGGATCGATGACATGTGTCAACCAAGTCAGGCTGATGGTGAAACATCCTCACGGAAATATATAGACACCTTGCTATACGTCTGCAGACAAAGATATCTGTATTAAACTTTTATGACTTTCCAATTAACGCTTGAAATCAATGTTCAATGGGGGTGGTCGGGTAGCTTAGTGGTTAAAGCGTTCGCTGGTCACGCCGAAGACCCGGGTTCGATTCCCGACTTGTGTATAATGTGTGAAGCAAATTTCCCAAATGCCCCCGCCGTGATATTGCTGGAATATTGCTAAAAGCGGTGTTAAACCAAACTCACTCACTCACTACGTTCAATGCTGATAGCATTGACCGCAGCTGTAGCAGTGTTTTCATTTATGTGTGTATTTAATTACGGAGTGTTGTTATTCACTCCCACGACAGATGTACTCATAATATGATTCCTTGTAAGAATGCACTATAAAAACCGACATTAGTCCGGACTAGTACAAGCAGCCACACACACACGCACACGCACACGCACACGCACACGCACACACACACGCATGCACAGACGCACGCATGCACACACACACACACGTGCATACATATTATGATTGTACAGGTACAATCATCTTGAATGCGGCGTTTGACCTCAATTCACCTCACCCACCATTTAGGAATGCAAAAAATCATGTGTGAAAACAGAACATCCGTCACACTGTGAAATGTTATTCTAAACAAGGCCTGACAATGACGAAGTCATTCGTGACTTGTTTTTCCGGGACAAGCCGAATAACGACTCGTGCCCCACTCATGTCCATTTTTGCGACCGGGTTCCGTCTAAGCGCTAACGGGCATACCTAAAACAATTGTCAACTCGTTGCGTAACGGTTCATAGATAATTCCCCATATATTATATATGTTTCAGATGCAATTTAGAGCACACCGGGACCTGCGGAATTATACAGAATGATTGAGCACATTAAACTGTGTCTCGGGTATATTTTTAGATGCAAGACGCATGTAAAATCAAAAATTATTCCTGAGGGATTCTTTGACGAAGCACTTGAAGTCATACGCGCTTTCTGATTGGTTTGTCGTATTTTCGCACATAACATTCATCGATAGGGGAACGAGTCTTCTTGCAGGTTACGGAAAGGGGCGAGTGGTGACGAATGTGACGAAGTATTATACCACGAGTCCGTTGGAGAAATATACACGAATTCATGTAGCATGGTACGCTATATTATCGCAGTAGTTAGTTTATAACATGGCGAATGCTCACTAACATATTAGCTATGTCATAAGCAAAATGTTTCTTGTTCTTAATTCAACTTTTATGACACATTAGTCACGATTGATCGATGATTATTTTCTTTACCGAGTTCGGTAAACTAAGTACCTGTCATTGGCGACTCAAGGGCGGGCAACTCCATATCATCGCCGTATCACTATTTTGTCAGTGATACGTGTGGACTATGCGGTTTTCACCCCTTCCTGGTTTGGATTATGCATAATGATATAAAGTAAAAATACATTCCCATAACCTTAAAAAAGTATAAGAAAGTCAACCTTTAAATTATTATAGTATATTATATTTTTATAGTTTTAAAAACGACGGAGCCAGAAAGCCGAAGCAGGGCATCAAAAGGGCGATGACAGTGACAGGATATTTCGGGATAGGTTCGGAGGTGTTAATCAATAGGCATCTTTAATCGGTTAGTAGGTTCCGGTAATTTGCTGATCACAACATAAACACGAGTTCATGGTCTGATATTGTTCTCAACCAATCAAAATGATCTATGAGGACATGTGACAAAGACCGGCCAGACCCGAACACTTTACAATGATACCATCAACATTAGGAGAGGAGAGCCCCGTTTGCAGCCAATCGAGTCGAACCCCGATCGTTCTGAGTTCACAACTTAGTGACGAGCCTGGCCGGTCTGATGCTGTCGTGTATTGATAAATGACTGAGAGTAAGTAAAACTAATGTGATTATAAAACTGGTGTCGGTTTCTTTATTATGCGAGTATAAATGCTGATGGAGACAATTCGGAGTAAGCGTCGATAGACCAATCACTCCTTGCCTGAGATGAGCCGAGGCTGACAAGGCGAGATGCAAAGTCATAGCGAACTGACCATGACGACAATGCGTTCAGGTAACTGTAGTAACGTCCAACTTGAGGATCTCGCCTCTTACGACAAGCATGGGTTGCTGGAGGCCTTTTCTAGCCCGGATGTTCACGGGTATAAAGACTGTAGGAAATATCGGTGATGGAAATTTAAGTAAACTGCATATAAAACTGTATATGATTTCACTATTCGTAAAAAGATTTCCAGGTAGAATAGCCAGTAACACATCAAAGATTATTGTCAATCATTTAGAGAGAGATTTATTTTCAATTCAATAATCTTTTTAGCACATATTAATTTCTTGCAAGAATGTATTTTTAATTAAGTGAGGAATTTCACAAGAATATGACTAGAACGAGCAGAAAAAAGCCACATCTAAACAAATGATGGAGATGAATTCTACTTTCTAATAAACCATCAGAATGTTTAATTTGATAGGTTTAGGGGACGATTCCCACACGCAAAATAGACTTGCCTTTGCATGTGTTTGTGATAGTGATTCATCAACACATGCTCATGATATAGTCGGAATAGCAGAGATTTCTAATGGATATGGAAAGGCTTGCTTTATATATATATATATATATATATATATATATATATATATATATATATATATATATATATATATATATATATTCTATACTTATTCTTACCCGGAATTATTAATGTAAGTGATAACAGAGGATTCAAGCAGAAAACTAATTGATCTAATTAAACATCCTCACTGTGATCCTGTTCCGCTATGTTGCCAATATCTGAATCACAAACAGACCCGTGCAGACCCGGGGTGAATAGGTCTTCAGCAACCCATGCTTGTTGTAAAAGGCGACTATGCTTGTCGTAAGTGGCGACTAACGGGATCGGGTGGTCAGGCTCGCATGGTTGAAGCATGTTATCGATCCCAATTGCTTGGATCGATGCTCATGATATCAATCACTGGATTGTCTGGTCCAGACTCGATTATTTACAGACCGACGTCATATAACTTGAATATTTCTGAGTGCGGCGTAAAACAACCAACCAACCAACCATCACAAACTGTGTGTACTGGTTGGTTTGCAGCCAACGTGACCTTTCAATTGAAGGTCTCAGAGACCGATCATTCGACATTATTTTTTTATGTTAAATATTGGAAAAAAATAAGCTTGCCTCACGTTCACCTAAATGTTTTTGCTTCTACACACGCACAATCATACACGCACTTCAGCCTCGATGCCCAGTATAATACCAGTGCTCGTGGGTCTCATCAACTTGGAGGCGACTAACGGGATCGGGTGGTCAGGCTCGCTGACTTGGTTGATGTATGTCATCGTATCCCAATTTCGTAGATAGATGCTCATGAAGTCAATCATCGGATTGTCTGGTCCAGATTTGATTATTTACAGACCGACGTAATTTTGATCTGCAATAATGCTGAATGCGGCGTCAAACAAACAAACAAACACACAAACAAACATCAAACTGGACAACAGATATGACCTGGGTCAATTTGAACGCTCCTCCGACATTAAGCTGAAATAGAACTGAAATACTGTTCAAAGAGGCGTTATAAAATTCCCTTACTTAATCCGTACTGAGTCTAGAAATATGTTTCATCCTTGGGGCAAGATGACGGGGGGCATCGGTCACTGAGCAGCATTTGGGGGGTAGAGGATGTGTGTGTGTGGGGGGGGGGGGGGGGGGGGGGGGCACCTTTTAGGAAATCAGACAACATTCCGCTTACCTACATTACCTGACACGACGTCAGAAGCAGTATCAGTTTGACTTATATCGTGTGCAGGTGACCGTTCTCCCTGCCCTTGATCTGTTCATCTGTCTGAACACATTAGACAAGTTATTCATAAGGGCCGTGACGCGAACTTAGATCAAGAATACCATCCTCCAAAACATTCCATCACTGCTACCTTTGTGGATGGGAACAATTGCTTGTTAATTTAAAATGTACAGGTGACCCACTCGTCTTAGGAGCCGAAACTCGCTGTGCAGATGGACTTCCCTTGTCGGAATTCTATTATTCTGGGTTCTAATTATAGTTCTTTGTTTGTCAGCACCCTGATCGTTGGTTTCACCAAAGGCCTGCGTCACTTAGGACTTCCTTCCACATTAAGCTGACACGCCATGTTATATCTTAAATAGTTCTTAAAGCGGCGTTAAATCCAACACACACACACACA